AATACTAAAATTAGAAAATGTTAGGTAATCTATTGCGGTTACACACGCAAATGAGTGATACGAACATTTTCCTCCTATTAATTCGAATTGCTGAATATTAATTACATTATCGTCACTCGAAACTTATAGAATCTAGTTTAGAAAATACGCTATTTAAATCATTTCATGATAATTTAATACTTAATATATTGTATGGATATTTTTAAACTAGTGTAATATAATATATTTCTAGAATTGTAGATTAATTCTTACAATTTTTGACTCGCAAATAAATGAAATGTTGAGATTTACATATAAATATAAAGCATTTTATGACTTTTTTTTAAAAAATAGAATTAACACTTTATTTAAAGTTTAACGTAAAAAATAATTCAGAAAAGTTTCATAGAATTCGTTAAAATAAATCGCATTAAAAAACTAAACAAGCGTGAACACTTAAAAATATAAAAAAAATTATAGAAATAAATTCTAAGTAATTAAACGCACCGATTACGGTATCACACGGTAAAGTAACAAACAAAAACCAGATTTAAAAATGTTTTTTCCTTCTTTTTTTTCACATATCCGTGTTGCTCGTTCACCAGTGGTTTTCAGGGGTTTTTGCACCCCTGGGAGTGCGTCACGCTACAAGGGGTGCACAGCCAATTTCAAGAAAATTTTTTTATTCGTTTCTTAATATTTTATACAATTAACGAAAGATTAATTTAAAAAAAATGATTAAATATTTTCGTTAGAAGTATGAACAATGATCGAAATTATTTTAGTGAATTAAAGAATTCCAGAGGGCATATGGTAACACTCGGTCATCCCAGCCAGTTAGCAACAAATCGTAATTTGCGTTAGTTTGTTGATAAATTATAGCCAGTTTTCTTTTTTTCTTTTGTGCTTCAATAGCAGAAAAGGAAAAATTCGGAAACTTTGGACGAACCAAATAACAATATGCTTATTACTGCTATTGGAGAACAAGAAAACACACAAACGGATACTTCTGGAAAAGAAGAAAATGCTTATATTTCGGTCTCTGATGACATTGTACAAATAACACCACCAGTCAAAAAACCTAAAGTATATTAGAAAGTTAGATATTTTCAAAATGATTACGTGAAACATTAAATTACATACACTCGTATTAATAGTGAACCTCCGTCCTTAAAATATTTTGTCACGACAACACGAAGCCCATCAAATTAGAAAGACATTAAAAATCCAAGCATATTCTGAGCCTGCGAAAAGCCAACAGGATTTTTTCAGTATTTTCTGAAAATCTGCGATGATTAATCTAAAAGTTTGAAGAACACACCAATCTTAAAGAAAAAATATTTGAAAGCTTTTGAAGTTACTTAATATCAAAAGAGAATAATCCTCAGTCCGTTGGTGAAACGCTTCTTTTTTCCTCTTGCGGTAAATATGATTGACATCATTTACGAAAAGAAACATTCTGGGAAATTAAAAACAAATCCTTTGTCAGATAATATTATTGCAAGGCGCATAGAGACGATAGCTGAAGATATGAAAAAGTAGTTATTAGAATAAATAAATGTGAAGAAAATTTGCTTCGCAACTGGATGAGAGTGTGGGTTCTCCGTAATATGACTCAGCTTCTTGTTTTTGTTAGATATTTTATTAATGACGAATTACACGAAGAAATGCTTTTCTGTCATCCACCTAAAAGGAGATGTATAGAAGAAGAAATATTTTCTGAAATAAATAATTTTTTTCGTGACAACAAATTCTCTCGGAGTAATTGCACAAATATAATATCAGACTGTGCAGCTGCTACGATAAAAGTGAAAAAAGGATTTAGAGATAAAGTAACTGAAATAGTACTTCGTGTTAAATTTATTCATTGCATTATTCATAGGCAAGCAATTTCAGCAAAGAAATTACAGTAACAGTACATCACTTACTACAAGATGACAATTTTGTTGTTAATTACATAAAATCTAAGTCATTAACAAGTGGAATCTTTGGAATACTTTTACGCTGAGACAAGCAGGCAAACACGATACACTTTTGTATCACACAGAGGTGCGCCGATTATCACGAGGCAAAATACTACAGAGAATCATCGAGCTTAAAGTCGAACTCAATTTTCTTTATCGAATAAAGAAAAAGTTTAAAGTTTGCAAGTTTTCTTTTTTTACAAACAGAAGTGGTTACTGATTGTACGCTACCCTACTTGATACATTTGAAAAAGTAAACATTTAATTTGTCGCTTCGTGGCAAAGGCGATGTTTTTTTAACTACGAGCGAGAAATTTACAACCTTTAGAAAAAAAACTCATCCCGTGTAGAAAGAATTTTGAAATTTAAAATTTAGAGACGTTTCCATCTATGAATGATTTTATAGCAGAAAATGAAATAACTATGGCAGATGAGAAATGTCTTATTCATACATACTTGAAGAATTTAGAAGCAGAATTTCCTAATCAGTTTGAAAATCTCTCACAGAAAGAATTTAAATGGATATCGAATCCATTCAATAAACACTTAAACTCGGAGCATCCGCCAATCAAATTTCAAGAACAGCCTCCGACTGAAATGAGAGAAGATACAAATTTGAGAGCATCTTTTCTAGAGAAAAAAAAAATATATATATATATATACAATTGTTGGATCCTACTAAAACAATGAATATCCAAACTTGCTCCTCCCTTTTAGTTCAACATATCTTTGTGAAGTGACCTTTTCTCTGCTGTAGTTGAGTTTAAAACGAAAAAATAAAATAAACTGAAGTCTATCTAAGAATTTCTCGTGTCATAAGTAATTCAACCAAGATTTTTCGAATAAATGAAACTCTGTCAAGCACATTCTTCGCACTAAGTTATTTAAATACCGTAAGTTTTTTTTCTTTTATATTTTTAAATACTAAATATTTAGAAAATATCGAAAAAATGCACCTTCACAGAGAGATATAATTTTATATATTTATTTTTTTAATGTAATTTTAATTTGGGGAGCGTGTAATTTATTTCTTGGCATAACCAAAAACGATTGAAAGCCACTGCACTACAACACTTCTTATATACAAAACAACAACCAAAAAAACACATAACCCGTATTAAAAATCTCCTTTTACCCATAAATTTAAGAAATTACACTTTCAACCGTAATTTTAACATTCATTTCTCATATATATAATAACTAAATAGGTACTCCTGTTACACTGTAATCACTAAAATGACATCAACTGGATAAATATAGATATCGCTTTACGTATCTATGAATTATAACCAGATGTGCCAGTACATTAAATTTATTATTATTATTTTTTAATATTCGGTTATTATATTAATTATACCATCGTTTATTTAAAAGTATATATACTTACCTTTTAAATGTCATCTTTATAAGTAGGTTATCGGTGTTGTTTAAAGCTAAAATTTTGTTTTGTTTTTTATGTTAAATCGCTTGTTTAACTATTCGACTCATAAATAACCTTAAAGTAAATAAAAATCAGCAGCGGTATGGATAAATTTTTAAGTGGTTCCGAGTGATTACTACAACACTCCATTAATCGAGAGAAAGACAAACAAATCGTTAATAATATAGATTCGATTTTATCTGTAATAAATAATCATTTATTTACTGTATTACCATTAAATTCAATTTATTTCTACAAAACTTAATATTTGTCAACGTATAAATGAATTACAGAATCACAAAAAGCCATCTAATGTTACACAAACAATTCTTAAAATTTTATGCCAATTATTCCATGCTAAAAAGAATATATTAGTCGAATTGTAAAGATTTAAGATTCGTTTCGCTCGACAAATCTCATATATATCTTATATTTTAAGAGAAGAGAAAGAATTTTAATGAAGCGAAACGTTTCCGTATTATCCTAACTTAAGAATTTTAATTATTTATAATTTATATAAGTAATTAGAGAGAAAAAAATACTTGATCTAATTGAATATTTTCTACATTAATCGAAAAGTAGAATTAATTTTTAATGGTTTTAAATTTTTCTTTTTTAAATTACAGACTCTTACAGATTTAATTCTTTACTGGAAAGAATAATCGGGATAATATAAAAGTAACGGATTGATCTTACGTTAAATTAAAAAGATTTTATAAATTTTGCACGGGTCCTTAGTTAGAAAATGAATTTTTTTTCGTATTAAATTTTATTATAATTTTAAATTTAAATGCTCGTACTATAAAATAACATTTGAAAAATATTATTTTATAGCTCTTTACATAATAAAAAGTTACTTTTCCTTAGTCTAGGAATGAAGGCGAAATTTTCTGTCGCAAAAAATGAAATACGAATCGCACGTAGGATTTAAAAAAATAAATAATCGCAGCGATTAATTAAAAACATGCAAACAGACTCATTTTATGCATACGCACCTATGCAATTCTGTCGCACTATAGAAAATCGCATGTGCATTCCTACACATAAAGACGTAAAAAAAGAAGTGCCGACTTTTTGAAGAAGATTAAAGTATAAAATTATTAAAATATAAATACGTATTTGTATTTTTTTTAAGTATACAATATACATAATTTTTTAAGAACGTTTTGATACTTTCTATATATATAGATATTAAGAAAATATGATGCTCTTTGGGGAAAAATAGAATTAGGAAAATATTTTGCTAGTATTATAAATATACATTACTTTATTTGAAGATACGCATCATAACACCAAGATAAATTTGTATTTTTTCGAAATTGTACTGTCACAATTTCAAATATAAAGATGATTTTATTCAGTATGTAAAGTAATAACTCTAACATTATCATTTAACAGATAGAAAACTGAAGAGAAAGAAAAAAAAAATGTTTGCATTTCTAATTTTTTCCTTTCTTTTTCTTCGTTTTATATTTTCCTTTCGACTGCTTACTTTTCCTTTCTAAATTGTTAGCTTTGACAATATCAAAAGAAATTAAATTTAACAACGTTAAAAGAAAAATAAAAACTGCGGCTACTCGAAGATTATATTAAATAAAAGTTTTTAATTCAATTATTAATTATTTAAATTAATTTTCTTAAAATTTTATATNCACTTTTAGAGTATCATGAAGTTCGCCACTCAGTTTTTTGGCTACAAGATGCTGCCTGTGTAGGACACAGTGAACAGTATGTACTTTGGGAACCTTTTTCTTCAGAAAGACGAAAAATCCTCTGTAACGGCCTACCATAGCAGGTGCACCGTCAGTAGCTACTGCGGTAATATTCCCGAAAGGAATGTTGTGCTTGTTCAAATAATCTTGCAAACATAAAAAAATTGTCTCACCTTTTGAATCAGTTTCAAGATATTTAGCAAATAGAAATTCATCAACAGTGTCATTCAGGGATGGACTATGAAATCTAACATAAGCCATGAGAAGATTTGAACTTCCGAAAGTTGATTCGTCAAGTTGAATAGCAAACTTACAATGCTGGAGCTCAGAGGTCAAAGTTCTTTCCACATCATCGGCCATTTCCTCGATACGTCGTTGCACAGTATTGGCACTTAATGGTATGCATTTTAAAACTAGTTGGGAGTCTTTCTTCATAACATTTTCAATTACATCTTTTATAGCTGGTATTATAATCTCTTCACCAATAGTATACGGTTTGCCTTTCTTTGCAATATTAAGAGAGATGCTGTAGGATGTCTTCAGTCCTCCTTCTCTATCAACACTAGCGGATGACTTCAAATATGTATTCAAATTTGGCCGAACTCTCAATTTCTCTTTTAGTATTTTGAAATACTCAAAATCTTTGTTTTTCTTGTCAGAATGGATCCTTTCCAAGTGGTCTTTCATTTTCGCCGGCTTCATAGCATCATTGCTGAAATGTTTTTTTTTTTTTTTTTTTATAAAATGAATTACGCATAAATTTTAAAATCATTTAAAAATGATTAAATAAAAATAAGTTAAAAGTTTGAAAAATTTTTTTTAAAAATCCGTAAAATTTATAATTGCAGAAAAGTGGATGTTACTTTTAGATAATTTGTTCATACACGATATATAGAAAAGTTAACTAAACGTAACTTCCACCGCTTATATTACACACACGCATACGTAAGTTACCGCGTGTATTTTAATAAGATAAACAATTCGATCGATTCGGTGGAAAATATATAAATGAAAAATACCTTTCTCATCGTCGTCATTTAAGAACCTTAAGTCTTTCGGATCGCTAATGCAAACACGCATCGACAAACTGCAACACTCTACACTCGAATGAAATCCTCGTCGTACGAGCGGCTCCCGACTAACTACCGCCACGTAAAGCATCGATAGTGGCGACGTACGACGTCCGTTAAAGTAAACATAATACCAGATAATATATTTTTTTTTATTAAAAATGATACTATTACATTAATAATTTATTTCGTGTCAAAATAATATTTTAAATTTAAGAAATATTAAAATATATTATCGACCGGTTAAATTTTGTATATAAGAAAGTTAATAACTAGAGCGAGAGCCAGCGTATATTTGATCGATATATTCCCTAGAGTATCGATGACATTCTTTACAGTGAAAATTCAATTTAAGTCGTTTAATCTTAAAAGAAAATAAGAAAAATTGACGAATTTAAGCTTTAAAAAAATGAATTTAAAAAAAAACAATTTTTGCGCATGCACAAAAGCAACAGTTTGAAATCGTCACGCTTCTTTTTCAAATTCCTATAACCACAAATATGGCGGAAAGTAAAGTCATATTTACAATTTAAGTAAATCTTTATAAATCATTATTCTCTTTTTCTCCTGCAAATGGCATTTACCATTTGCAGGAGAAAAAGAGAATAATGATTTAAAAAAAAAAAAATGAATTTAACTAAATAAATAAATGTGTTTACACTAAATGGCAAATAACAGAAACCTTCTAAGATTCGTTTATTTATTTATTTATTTTCTTCGTTTTACGTGGGTCGAAAAGTTCATTTTAATAAAAATTTATCCAGAAGAAAATTTGAAAATAATTAATTTGAAACGAAAAAATATCGGATTTGTATTCGTGTTTAATAACAAAGTGAATCTCGCCTGGACATCATTTTAATGATTCAAAGAACTATAAATTTAAGTTATCGATCCGAATGTCAATATAAAGTAAAAGAAGTAAATTTTTCTTTTCTTATCCACCAGTAACTTGTAAAAGGTTAATGACGGAGTCATCTGTAAACTAGACACGACGAAGGTGAAATTTCAGAAGTCTGTCGATTTAAACAGAAAAAAGAAATTAAAAAAGAGGAGGATTGATCGTTAGACATCGAGTCGATGGCTTCCGAAATCGAGAAGTTAAATTATATAATCACTATAGGAATCTATGCTTTAAAAAAATAATAATAAAATTAATAATAAGTAAATAAACGCAATTATAAATCGTATATTAAATATATATATTTATTATATAATTTTAAACCAAGAATTATAGATATTAAATTATTCAAAGAGTAAAAAATTAAAAGGGAAAGAATGGACTATTAGACATTAGACGAGTTCTCGATTCCAAATTCCTATATAAAATAGTAAAAGTAAGTGTTTTATAATATATATTATATACGGTATATTATAAATATTTAATATATTTATTATAAAACGAGAATGAAAATTTAAATATCTTTTTTTTTTAATGCATAGTCAATAAATAATAAAAATTAATTTAATTTGTAAGCTGAAAATCGAGCGAATGGTTTATAATTTATTATTAAATTTAACATTTATTTTATAAATTAAATTTTATTTATTTTTTTCCTTTAAAATTATCGACCGGAATTCGATAAGTACAGAAATAGGTGCGCATTCGTTTGACGTAAATAATGCAAATTTTATGAAGTCGAAAAACAAAAATCCGAAGAATTTATTAATAAATCATTTCGATTCTTTTAGAAATTACATATTAAAATTTAAAACTAGAAAAATTACGGGTTAAATGGAGACGACGATATTTGACCCCCCCGTCAAAAAAAAAAAAAAA